TCAAACTTTGAATGCTTGTAAAAAAAAATTGTGACCATGTATTTCTTTTATTTTTCAACTGCTATTGTAAAAATAATTTTTAATAATCTGCTTATAATATATCCTAGACAGATAAACCGTTTCCGCTCAGAATTGTTTTTCGTATAGGGTACAATGATATAATATCATTGGATTCAAATTTAATTCTATCCATTATCAGTGGTCGAAATGGGGGGGGGATACGGAAGGATGACATCCCTCTACCTTTTTGTATTTACATTTTTCATCTCTTTACTTATTTTGTCTAGAATAACGCATTCCTYCTAAGACTTGTGTTTTAAAATGAAATAATTATTATGATTTTTATATTTATACCTATGTATAAGAACACTTTTTATTTTTCGTATAGGCCGTTTCGCAATCTTATTATCTATATAGGTACCCGTATTTAGAGCCACGGATTAAGAATTAACATGTACCTTATAGTCGTGTTTAGAACTAATAATATAATATTTTAATATCAAAAAATAGTAACAATATTGATGATAATAAGTAGGGACGTAGCAACTAGCAATATGCTAAAATATCTAAACGTCATTTCTGACAATATTTTGATGCATAAACAAAATGTGAACTATGAAAAAAAAATACTATACAATAAGGTATGATTGGTATGAAGAATGTTATGATTATATCAGGAAATCTGAATTGTAAGGCATCCCTCCACTTATCTTGAGCCATTTCGACCACTGTGACCATTACAATAGGTAACCCACTTGTAACCTACTGTACAGCAGAGCGACATCTACGACTTACCAGCTTTTTTTTTTTTTGACTGTCAGTAATTTTGATTTTATAATACTTATTGTTTAATAGAAAACAATTATATTTTTACAGTCAATAAATTTGGTTATTAATATTATTTAAAACTACCGGACATTTATTTTAACCCAGTTAATTTGAGTATAGGTTATTTTTGCACCGGTTCTAGTGACGTGGATCATTTGTCACAGGATAATATTTACCGGATCAAATGTTGTGGAACCTAGTATTATAGCTGAGTAGCTGACCTAACTATAGTTAACTAWAAATAAAACAGCCAATAAGAAAATTGTTTAACCTCAGCTGTTATATTATTTTACGAGTTGAAAATTGCAATATTTGAATGATTAAATCTAAAAAATATATTTATGTTAAGCTCTATTAGTAATTTCTTGACTCAATATTGTACCAATTTTCATTTATCATTGATAAGTTATTAAAGTGAATGAAAATGAAAGATAGAYTTACTATTTGAAAAAAATTCCAAAATCAAAACAAAGACACTCCGAGAGTGATATATTTTGTGTATTTTATTCATAGGCGTAAATTGGGGGGGGGGGCTTAGCCCCTCTAAAAAATAGTATAGCCTTGTTATAAATTTCTAATGTTATAAATTATAAATTATAATCTTAGCGTTAGCCCACCCCCTTCTAGCAAGCCAAATTTACGCTTATGATTTTATTATTAAATTATAAGTTCAAAATATATTATAATATTGAAAAACAAATAAGTGATGGCTTATTTATCAAGAAAATATTTTTCCTCAACTTGCATTAAGTCGCACGCTCTAAAATTGTTTGTTATTTTTTAAAATTTGTTCATAACAGTATAATACTCGATACTCGTAATATATTTTCATGTATTGTATTGAGTAGGTATGTGCTGGGAATATACAACAACGAATAATAAAAGTTATAAAAAAAAACTTATTGAATGTTCAAAATAAATGTACTATCCGATCACAGAACAAACTAGTTAGTTGTTAAAAAGTTTTCCGTATAAATTTATTTCATTGGTTTATATATTAATAGATTTTGATTTTAAATYCTGAACAACGATAAACAAACAGTAGGAAGTAATTGTCGATAGATTGAAAATACACAGCTTAGGAGTATTTCAGTCACTTAAATAATGTTTAACTACATATCATATARTACCCATATAGGTAGAAAAGAAAAAAAAGGTATGTAAGAAATAAATATTTGTCTTTGAAACTGCATTTTGTAATCAGTACTGAAATCATTTGACTTTGATGGTTTTACATACTTGTTCGTATATACTAGGTGTACCTACTATTAAGTTATTATAGATCACTGCTGCAGTCGTACAGATCCATAGTTTTTATTTAATTATTTATATTTTAATTTTTTTTTAAATTTAAATAAACAGGCCTCGGTGTCTATGGCCATTATTGGCATAAAAGAAGTTTAATGGTTAACAGTTGTTAAGGATACAGTATTTAGATATTAAATGAGCAAGAACAGATTATCAACTATTTAAAAGATTGGTTTTGATTAAAAAGGTCATCACGTGACTTAATGGTACCYGGATGGAGAGCTTCCGACAYGATATTTGATATTATATGTAAAAACGACATTCGGATACAATATGTTTGATTGATGATAGGAGTGTACCGCAACTGGCGCATATAGCTGGGTTTTCTTGCTTCAACAAATACTGCAGGCGTGTTAGCGATGTATGCCTATTTCCTATACGCATTCAATTTATTGCGATTTCCATCTTTTTATCATCAACATTTACTTAATTCACCGTTGATGTAACTTTTTAATAACCAAGAGGGAGTCTGTATAATTTCGTTTTTGATAACGTCAATTGCGTGGTAGACATATTTTTATATTAGGTACATAGGTAACATTTAAAATTATAAATTATGAAAATGAAATTGTTAGATAATAAAATTGTATAAAAACAACTATGTTGGAAACACGACCATCCAAAATAATTTATAAAATTATTAGTATAAATAAATTATAAAATATATACTATGCGACTCTTATAACTAAAAATTAATATTAAAACTCAAATCGTATTGATATTTCAATAGATTAAATCAAAAATCGTAGGTAGAGTTTTCGGGGCAATTCAATAGTTTGTTTTATTTTAAATAGACTACATGAAGTGTGTTCTTCATATTTCTCTTTAAAAAATTCATCTTTATTTGGCATCGACGACCTATATCCATTAGCACTACATAAATTATTGTCATTATTATAATATTACAAAGTTATGTAGTCCTTAACATAGGCTTAAAAATAAATAATTAATAATCGTATTTTAGTTAATCAGATACTTCTATCGCTTAACTTGTAATCATTTAAAATAAAAGGCAATAGCTAGTAAATAGTTATGTTAAGTATAATCATTCATTCATTCAAGTAGTAAATTTGATATTTAAGTATTTAGAGAGCCGATTTAAATCAATAAAAAAAAAAAAAAACAATAGACGACAAACGGCAGTATAAAAAAACACAGGTATCTAATATCTATAGGCATATTATGAGACTTAACGTAATGGTTTTATAATATTCATGAAACAGACCATAAACATAAGCAGCATAATTTCATATATTATTACAACGTACCATTTGAACGTACCATTTGAAGTATCTCAATCAACACACATTAAATATTTTGTAGAAAAAAAAACGTCAGTAATAATGTCTGTGTAATAATCGCTTTATTTTATTGAATAAAGATTAATAACATTTTATGTAAAAAAAATCCCTTTATACTCAAACGCCAATATTGTTGCAGTAT